GCCCGAGGCCCGCGTGGGCCCGCACGGCTGGGCGGAGGGCCGAGGGCCGCGGGCAGAGACCGAGCCGCCGTCGCCGCCGCCTTCGCGTGGGCCCGGCGGCTAAGTACGCGCGCTGGTCTCCTTTTTATTGAATGAAAGGTGTTGCTTTTATCGCCGTGATGTGAGGTGATAAATCCCGATGCTGGAATTTGCTCCCCGAAAACCTCTTCGGAGAAAATGCAGAAGGGGAGAAACCCGGTAGTCCCAGTGATTTCCGAGGCTCGGCAAGCTGGGGAAGGAAATGGATAGTTTGGGATCTTTGGGATGTGCTGAAAGGCTGTGCGTGGAGAGCCATCGACCAAGCCCGTGTCGGGTCCGGAACCTGCGTCCGCTGTCCCCGCTGGGCGTGTCCGTGTCGCGGCGGTGTCTGTGCCCGCTCTCACTCGAGCTGTGCACGGCGCGAGATGGACGGCGCGTTCGCCGCCCCACCACTGCTGCGCCGCTCGTGCGGACTTGGCCCTAATACACTCATCGAAATGAAAGTCCGGTGTTCTGTGTTTCGTGCTTTGGGGATGATGCTGGTGTGGGTTGATCTAGCTTAAGACAACGTAACCATTTTTTTTCAATACTGAAGAATGAAGCCAGCTGTATTAAAAAAAAATGTTGGTGGGGGCTGTAACTTGCATAGAGAAACTTCATCCCTAAGTCTGTCTTTTACACAATTTAGGTGATTTACGACGATGTCGCTGGTTGGATACCACTTAGAATGAAACCTTTCTGAAATATTGTTCATTTAGTAATACAATTGCACGTATTTCATGTGTCCTTACAGTTTAATATGGCCCCCAAAGAAGAGGAGGAGGGAAGGGTTAGATCCCCATTTTCTGGATGGCACTTCTGCCACAGATTTTGTGCCAGTTTTATTTGCCAACTTGAAATTGGGCTCTGATTGTAGAATTGATTTGTTCTTTTTTATTCCAAAAGTTATCTTCACAGGCCAGTTGCCTGCTGGTAATGTACTCTTATCTGCCTATACTGACAAAAAGAGAAACCCATATTTTGGTTTATCTTGACTGCCGGTATAGGCAGTTCATATAGGCAGTTCAAACTCTTCTTAATGGCTTCCCTAGTAAAAAGTTATAAGCCATATTTGTTTCAGATGATTTGCAAAATTTTGTGGGATATATTGGTCAGGTGCATGTTGTCATTTTATTTTTTTATTATGTAACACTCAACAGGTTGCTTTACCTTTCTTCTCTTACCTGGACTGTTTTTTATGGCCCGTAAAACTATAAACAGCTCAGAATGGTTTGCACAGTGCCCTAGCCATGATTTGTGAGGCAGAGATGATGTCTTGACTCATCTAATTAATTTCTTGAACTTTTCACACAATTTACAATTTGAGATTTAGTGTGTTTTTTGACAAGTATGCATCGTATGAATATCAGTTTTACAGTAATTTTAAATGAAATAGCCACATTGTTGTTCTTTCCATTTCTAGAAGCAGTAAATTTGAACTAGGTAATATTTATTTGGGAATATTAGTTGGGACAGCTGGGATTTAGAAACGGAAGACACTAGTGATAATTCTTAGGGAGAACCTGTGGCAGGATGGAAAGCCCTGAACCTGGGATTGGGGAGATAGGGGTTTTAGTCTTCACTGCCACTTAGTACCTTCTGTGCTAGGGCAAGTCACTCAACTTTTCTGAACCTCAGCTACTGCAGATAGTGAATGTTTTTATTTTTATTTTTTACCCTGATTATAAAAATAATAGTTGCTTTAGAAAAATTGGAAGGTACAGAAAAGACCACACTCACACATACACACCCCCACCTCCACTTCCATTGGGCAACCAGCAACAAACTCCTGTTAACAGTTTGCTTTCTTTATTCTAGTCTTTTTTTCTCCTACGTATTTTAATGTAACTGAGATGATATTGTGCATAACAATTTTTATCTTGCTTAGCTTAAGTATCTTCACCTTATTACGTTCTGAATGAAAAAATTTGAAGACTGCACTTTCCTTGACTGACAGTTAAATTTTTCCAAAATTTTACTTTTATAAACAGGGCAGAGATTAATGCTTTTGGGCATACATTTTTGTTCTCAGTTTGTACTGTTTTATCTAGGATAGAGTTCAACAAGTAGGGTAGCAAATACCGTGAAAACTTAAATCTCCCAATATTAGATAAGTTTTCATTAGATCATTTGATCCTAATTGAAAGTGGCCTGCCAGTTGCTATGTAAAAAAGGAACAGAGTTGCTATGGAAGACTATCCTGAATTACAGTTATCATTTAAAATTTTTGATTTACAGTAATGGTATTAAACTAGGGACAATTTGCAAGTCCAGATCCTGATTAAACATAAGCATCTTTAGAATTATCTGCCCAAACCATTCTGTAAAAGAGTGTATCATCTATTGAGGCAGAAAATCTTAGGCCTACATTAGATGGCTTGTCCATGTTTATATATTGTTTTGAAAATCAGAATAAAAATGAAGCTTGTTAATTACTAAGAACAGGTATGATCTTTTAAAGAAATTGATTTTATGTGTAGATGAATATCTTAATGATTCATCCACAATAGGATGGTGAAGACAAACCCCAGTCCCAAATGGAGGCTTCTTTCTTTGCATAAAAAGAAATACTCATGGATTATGAGATGTGCCTTTTCCCCCATATTTTAACATCTCTGAGTTTATCCTCAGAGTTGATCGTATTTTAATAATTGCTAACAGCCAGGTGGCAGTTGTAATGTACTTGACATTGCCTGCAAATGTACATACTTGGTTGTTTCTCCTAGTGGCATACCGGACAAGTGCAGCCTCTCAGTGTCCAATCAGCAAATCAATTTAACAACCATTTGAAGAAGAAATATCAGTCCTGGTTGTTGTCTGAGAGCCTTCCTTTGACACCTGGTGAGGTGAGGCAAGTGCTACTATCAAAACTTGCTGGATGAGAGTCAATGGCTTGGAAGAAAATACTAGGGACAGAAGGGGAGCACTTCTGCTTGTCACTTCCTCGTGGCACAGAGTATAATGATGTATGAGAAAACATGGATATTGACAACTCGAGTTGAAAAGTGATTGATAAGAGTTGAACTCTGAGTGTGAAGAAGTTTTAGAATATATTAAGTTTATGCTGGTTGTATTTTCATTTTTATGTTTACATGAGAGCTATATATGATAAAATTCTGTCTGAAGGTCTGTTTTTATGAAGTAAACATTTCAAAACACTTAAGTCATAGCTTAATTGCCAGCATTATTCTGTTTGTTTGAGTACTATACAAAAATTATGCATCTTGCAATGGCTACCATTATAAATTCAATGAAATGGTACGATGTTGATTCTATTTTTTAAGCTGCTGACTTTAAACAAACAGTAATTATACAGTGTTGAACTTGATGTTATTAGCTTTACATAGAGAACCTCTTTCAACCCTGTTTTGGGCTCAGAAGAGCTCTTTAATTTAATTGTACTACAAGTTTTTACAGAAATGTATAACTCCTTGAATTGGAATGATCTGTTTTTGGAAAAAAAAATAAAAGTAAGTGGCAGATTTTTCTTAAAAATGGCACTAGCCAAACAAGATTTCCTGATACTTTCTTTTTTTTTATATCTTAAACTAGCACTATGGGTAATGGGAGTGGAGCACTAGAATGAAAAAGATTCTGTCAAATTCAAATCTCTGAAGCCTGAGGAAGTAGAGGACTGAGAACATGGACTTCATACACTGGCATGATGATCAGTGCCTTTTTTTTTTTTTTCTTTCATACCTTATTGACTTAGCTTCCTCCTCTGAAAATACAAAGCTAAGGAGTAAGTTTTTTTTTAAAATCAATTTCTAAGGCTGAGGCGTAAATTAATTATTTTTAGAATGAAAATAAATGATTTTCTTTTAGATTTTAAGCTGCAGTTATCACAGTAGTTATTGGTATTTTAATTCCCTGCCTTTGGGATATAAGATGGTGAACATACTTGACCTTTGATAGGCTGAGTTTCCATATCTTTGATAATTTTTATTGACATTTTAAATGTTTATTTACTGACTTTTTCCTCCTTAAAATGAAGATTTTTATATGCTCATAGTAAGAAGAAAAAAAGCCTAACAATATAGAAATGTATAAGAAAGATGAAGGAAGAAAACCCAAATTTTGCACTCAGAAAAACCTGGTTAGCATTTTAAATGCTGAAGAGTTGGCCATGTTGGGAAGGGTACTGTGGTTTATTTTAGATTAAGATGATGAGGGATTTGCCACTACTAGAAGAGACCAGGGAAGAAGAGAAATAATCATACTAAGTTATCCTGAAATAAGACATTTAAAATATACATGAAATACTGTTAATTTAGCTTTGAACATTTCTGTTGGATTGTTCTTAGTTTAATTATATAATTTTTAATTCATAAAAATATACCTCTGTTGTTCCTTCTGAAGTTTGTGTGACACAGTTGGAAAATACCTTTGCTTTAATGAAGTGAAACTGAGAACAAAAAACCCTGACTTCTTGGCATTACTATCAAAAGAGAGAAAATAGATTAAAACTCAGAATTACTAGAGCTCTAATAGTTTAGAATCTTTGTTTCCGTTAGAAAAAACTCCCACCCAATAATGTCCTTTCCGTTTGCTTGTTGTAACACCTTCAAAGAAATTGTAGTTGTTATATCTTCTTCCCCCCACCCCGGTTTTTGTGTGTGTGTGTGTGTGTGTGAATTTATTTGGTATTTTTAGCTCCCACCAATAAGTGAGAACATGTGGTATTTCTTTTTCTCTGCCTGACTCGTTTCACTTAATATTATTATCTCAAGGTCCATCCATGTTGTTGCAAATGGCAGTATTTCATTCGTTTTTATAGCTGAGTAGTATTCCATTGTGTAGATATACCACATTTTCCGTATCCACTCATCCGATGATGGACATTTGGGCTGATTCCAGCTCTTGGCTATTGTGAAGAGTGCTGCAATGAACATTGGGAAACAAGTATACCTTCGACTTGATGATTTCCATTCCTTTGGATATATTCCCAGCAGTGAAATAGCTGGGTCATATGGTAGATCAATCTGCAACTGTTTGAGGAACCTCCAAACCATTTTCCATAGGGGTTGCACCATTATGCATTCCCACCAACAATGTAAGAGAGTTCCTTTTTCTCCGCAACCACACCAGCATTTATCTTTCAGCATCTTTTGGATTTTGGCCATCCTAACTGGGGTGAGATGGTATCTCAGTGTGGTTTTGATTTGCATTTCCCGGATGCTGAGTGATGTTGAGCATTTTTTCATATGACTGTTGGCCATTTGCATATCTTCTTTAGAGAAATGCCTACTTAGCTCTTTTGCCCATTTTTTAATTGGGTTGCTTGTTTTTTTCTTGTAAAGTTGTTTGAGTTCTTTATATATTCTGGATATTAGTCCTTTGTCAGACATGTATTTTGCAAATATTTTCTCCCACTCTGTTGGCTGTCTTTTAGCTCTGTTAATTGTTTCTTTTGCTGTGCAGAAACTTTTCAGTTTGATATAGTCCCATTTGTTTATTTTTCCTTTGGTTGCCCATGCTTTTGGGGTCATATTCATGAAGTCTGTGCCCAGCCCTATTTGCTGAAGGGTTTCTCCTATATTTTCTTTAATAAGTTTTATTGTTTCAGGGTGTATATTTAAATCCTTAATCCATTTTGAGTTGATTTTAGTAAATGGTGAGAGATGTGGGTCTAGTTTCAATCTCCTGCAAATGGATAACCAGTTATCCCAGCACCCTTTGCTGAAGAGGGAGTCCCGACCCCAGTGAATAGACTTAATGCCTTTGTCGAAGATCAAATGGCAGTAAGTGCGTGGGTTGATTTCAGGGTGCTCTATTCTATTCCATTGATCAGAGTCTCTGTTATTATACCAATACCATGCTGTTTTGGTTATTATAGCTTTGTAGTATAGTTTAAAGTCAGGTAGAGTAATACCTCCAGCTTTATTTTTTTTGCTCAGCGTTGCTTTGGCTATTCGTGGTCTTTTGTTATTCCAGATAAATGACTGTATAGTTCTTTCCATGTCAGAGAAAAATGTCATAGGAATTTTAATGGGGATTGCATTAAATTTGTAGATAACTTTGGGTAGTATAGTCATTTTCACTATATTGATTCTTCCAATCCAGGAGCATGGGATGTCTTTCCATCTTCTTGTATCCTCTCTAATTTCTCTCAGGAGTGGTTTATACTTCTCATTATAGAGATTTTTCACATCCTTAGTTAGTTCAATTCCTAAGTATTTTATTTTTTTGGTGGCTATTGTGAATGGGCAGGCTTTCTTGATTTCTCTTTCTGCTTGTTCACTATTGGTGAAAAGAAATGCTACTGATTTTTGTGTGTTGATTTTGTATCCTGCTACTGTGCTGAACTCTTTTATCACCTCTAAGAGTTTTTTAATAGATGATTTGGGCTGTTCGATATATAGGATCATATCGTCTGCAAACAGGGACAGTTTGACTTCCTCCTTTCCAATCTGAATGCCCTTTATTTCCTTCTCTTCTCTGATTGCTCTGGCTAATACTTCCAAAACTATGTTGAATAGGAGTGGTGAGAGTGGGCATCCTTGTCTGGTTCCTGTTCTTAAAGGAAAAGCTTTCAGTTTTTCCCCATTCAGGATGATATTGGCCGTGGGTTTATTGTATATGGCTTTAATTATGTTGAGATATTTTCCGTCTATACCTAATTTATAAAGGGTCTTTGTCATGAATGAGTGTTGGATTTTATCAAATGCTTTTTCGGCGTCAATAGAGATGATCATATGGTCCTTGTGTTTGGTTTTATTAATATGGTGGATCACATTTATTGATTTGCATATGTTGAACCAACCTTGCTTCCCTGGGATGAATCCCACTTGATCGTGATGAATGATCTTGCATATGTGTTGTTGTATTCTGTTTGCTAATATTTTATTGAGGATTTTTGCATCTATATTCATCAAGGATATCAGCCTGTAGTTTTCTTTCTTGGTTATATCTTTACCTGGTTTTGGTATCAGGATGATGTTTGCTTCATAGAATGAGTCTGGAAGCTTTGCTTCTGTTTCAATCTTTTGGAATAGTTTGTATAGAATCGGTGTCAATTCTTCTTTGAATGTTTGGTAAAATTCTGCTGTGAATCCATCTGGTCCTGGGCTTTTCTTTGTTGGGAGCTTTCTGATAACAGCTTCAATCTCCTTTATAGTTATTGGTCTGTTCAGATTTTCTATATCTTCTTGGTTTGGTTTTGGAAGCTTGTGTGTG